GCCGAATGTGCAAAATCATAAGAGATCCACACCTAGACACATTATAATGAAGATGCCCAACATACAGAATAAGGAGAGAATTTTAAAAGCTACAAGAGAAAGGAAGCAGATTACATTTAGGGGTAAGCCAATCAGGATAACAGCTGATCTGTCAACACAGACTCTGAAAGCTAGAAGATCCTGGAATAACATATTTCAAACACTGAAAGAAAATGGGTTCCAACCAAGAATTGTGTATCCAGCGAAATTAAGCTTCAGGATGGAGGATGAAATTAAAACCTTCCACGATAAACAAAAGTTTAAAGAATTCGCAGCTAGAAAACCATCTCTTCAAAACATCCTCGCCAAAGCATTACAGGAAGAGGAAATGGAAAATAACAATGAAAACCAACAGTGGGAGGTAGGACAGTAAAGGGGGGAAAAATAATCAAAGAGGAAAACAAACCATGTTTAGTAACAGAAATAAACAAATATGGCTGGAAGAACAACCCATATCTCAATAATAACCCTAAATGTTAATGGCTTAAACTCACCAATTAAGAGACACAGGCTAGTAGAATGGATCACAAAACAAGACCCAACAATATGCTGCCTACAGGAGACGCATTTGATAGGAAAGGACATACATAGGCTGAAGGTGAAAGGTTGGGAAAAATCATATCACTCATATGGACTTCGGAAACAAGCAGGAGTGTCCATACTCATATCAAATAAAATAGATTTCAAGCCAAAGTTAATCAAAAGAGATAAAGAGGGACACTACATACTGCTTAAGGGAACCATACACCAACAAGACATAACAATCATAAATATTTATGCCCCAAACAATGGTGCAGCTATATTCGTCAAACAAACTCTTCTCAAGTTCAAGAGTCTAATAGACCACCATACCATAATCATGGGAGACTTCAACACACCTCTCTCGCCACTGGCCAGATCTTCCAAACAAAAGTTGAATAAGGAAACTATAGAACTCAATAACACTATTAATAACCTAGACCTAATTGACATATATAGAATATACCACCCAACATCAAGCAGTTACACTTTTTTCTCAGCAGCACATGGATCCTTCTCAAAAATAGATCATATATTATGTCACAGGGCAACTCTTAGACAATATAAAGGAGTAGAGATAATACCATGCTTCCTATCTGATCATAATGGAATGAAACTGAAAATCAACGATAAAAGAAGGAAGGAAAAAGCATACATCACTTGGAGAATGAACAATAGGTTACTGAATGATCAATGGGTTATAGAAGACATCAAGGAGGAAATTAAAAAATTCTTAGAGATAAATGAAAACACAGACACAACATATCGGAATCTATGGGACACATTGAAAGCAGTTCTAAGAGGAAAATTCATTGCTTGGAGTTCATTCCTTAAAAAAAGAAAAGACCAACAAATAAATGATCTCATACTTCATCTCAAAATCCTTGAAAATGAAGAGCAAAACAACAGCAAAAGAAGTAGAAGGCAAGAAATAATTAAAATCAGAGCTGAAATTAATGAAATCGAAACAAAAGAAACAATTGAAAAAATTGACAAAACTAAAAGTTGGTTCTTTGAAAAAATAAACAAAATCGACAGACCCTTAGCGATGCTAGCGAAGAGAAGAAGAGAGAGAACTCAAATTACTAGCATACGGGATGAAAAAGGCAATATCACAACAGACACTTCAGAAATACAGAAGATAATCAAAAACTATTTTGAATCCTTATACTCCAATAAATTAGAAGATAGTGAAGGCATAGATAAATTTCTTAAGTCATATGATCTGCCCAGATTGAGTCAGGAGGATATAGAAAACCTAAACAGACCAATATCAATTGAGGAAATAGAAGAAACCATAAAAAGACTACCAACTAAGAAAACCCCAGGACCGGATGGGTATACAGCAGAATTTTACAAAACCTTTAAAGAAGAACTAATACCAATACTTTTCAAGCTACTTCAGGAAATAGAAAAGGAGGGAGAACTTCCAAATTCATTCTATGAGGCCAACATCACCCTGATACCTAAACCAGACAAAGACACTTCAAAGAAAGAAAACTACAGACCAATATCTCTAATGAACCTAGATGCAAAAATCCTCAATAAAATTCTGGCGAATCGGATACAAAAACATATCAAAAAAATTGTGCACCATGATCAAGTAGGATTCATCCCTGGGATGCAAGGCTGGTTCAATATACGGAAATCAATAAATGTTATTCACCACATCAATAGACTTAAAAATAAGAACCATATGATCATCTCGATAGATGCGGAAAAAGCATTTGACAAAGTACAGCATCCCTTTATGTTCAAAACTCTAGAAAAACTAGGGATAACAGGAACATACCTCAATATTGTAAAAGCAATCTATGCTAAGCCTCAGGCTAGCATCATTCTGAATGGAGAAAAACTGAAGGCATTCCCTCTAAAATCTGGAACTAGACAGGGATGCCCTCTCTCTCCACTTCTGTTCAACATAGTTCTCGAAACACTGGCCAGAGCAATTAGACAGACGAAAGAAATTAAAGGCATAAAAATAGGAAAAGAAGAACTTAAATTATCACTATTTGCAGATGATATGATTCTATACCTAGCAGACCCAAAAGGCTCTACAAAGAAACTATTAGAGCTAATAAATGAATTCAGCAAAGTGGCAGGATATAAAATCAACACACATAAATAAAAGGCATTCCTGTATATCAGCGACAAATCCTCTGAATTGGAAATGAGGACAACCACTCCATTCAAAATATCTTCAAAAAAAATAAAATACTTGGGAATCAACCTAACAAAAGAGGTGAAAGACTTATACAATGAAAACTACAGAACCCTAAAGAGAGAAATAGAAGAAGATCTTAGAAGATGGAAAAATATACCCTGTTCATGGATAGGCAGAACTAACATCATCAAAATGGCGATATTACCAAAAGTTCTCTATAGGTTTAATGCAATGCCAATCAAAATCCCAACGGAATTTCTTGTAGAAATAGAGAAAGCAATCATGAAATTCATATGGAAAAATAAAAGACCCAGAATAGCAAAAACAATGCTAAGCAGGAAGTGTGAATCAGGCGGTATAGCGATACCAGACTTCAAACTATACTACAGAGCAATAGTAACAAAAACAGCATGGTACTGGTACCAAAACAGGCGGGTGGACCAATGGTACAGAATAGAGGACACAGAAACCAATCCACAAAACTACAACTATCTTATATTTGATAAAGGGGCTAAAAGCATGCAATGGAGGAAGGATAGCATCTTCAACAAATGGTGCTGGGAAAACTGGAAATCCATATGCAACAAAATGAAACTGAATCCCTTTCTCTCGCCATGCACAAAAGTGAATTCAAAATGGATCAAGGAGCTTGATATCAAATCAGAGACGCGCTGTCTGATAGAAGAAAAAGTTGGCTACGATCTACAGTCGGTGGGGTCGGGCTCCAAATTCCTCAATAGGACACCCATAGCACAAAAGTTAATAACTAGAATCAACAAATGGGACTTACTCAAACTAAAAAGTTTTTTCTCAGCAAAAGAAACAATAAGAGAGGTAAATAGGGAGCCTACACCCTGGGAACAAATCTTTACTCCTCACACTTCAGATAGAGCCCTAATATCCAGAGTATACAAAGAACTCAAAAAATTAGACAATAAGAAAACAAACAACCCAATCAACAAATGGGCCAAGGACCTGAACAGACACTTCTCAGAGGAGGACATACAGTCAATCAACAAGTACATGAAAAAATGCTCAACATCTCTAGCTGTCAGAGAAATGCAAATCAAAACCACCCTAAGATACCATCTCACTCCAGTAAGATTGGCAGCCATTAGGAAGTCAAACAACAACAAGTGCTGGCGAGGATGTGGGGAAAAGGGTACACTTGTACATTGCTGGTGGGACTGCAGATTGGTGCAGCCAATTTGGAAAGCAGTATGGAGATTTCTTGGAAAGCTGGGAATGGAGCCACCATTTGACCCAGCTATTCCCCTTCTCGGTCTATTCCCTAAAGACCTAAAAAGAGCATGCTACAGGGACACTGCTACATCGATGTTCATAGCAGCACAGTTCACAATAGCAAGACTGTGGAACCAACCTAGATGCCCTTCAATAGACGAATGGATAAAAAAAATGTGGCATTTATACACAATGGAGTATTACTCTGCATTAAAAAATGACAAAATCATAGAATTTACAGGGAAATGGATGGCATTAGAGCAGATTATGCTAAGTGAAGCTAGCCAATCCCTAAAAAACAAATGCCAAATGTCTTCTTTGATATAAGGAGAGTAACTAAGAACAGTGTAGGGACGAAGAACAGGAGAAGAAGATTAACATTTAACAGGGATGAGAGGTGGGAGGGAAAGGGAGAGAGAAGGGAAATTGCATGGTAATGGAAGGAGACCCTCAGGGTTATACAGTGGAGGAGGTAGAGAGAGAGGAGGGGAGGGGAGGGGAGAGGTGGGGAGGGGGGAGGGGGGAGGATGGGAAAGGCAGTGGAGCACAACAGACACTAGTATGGCAATTTGTAAATCAATGGATGTGTAACTGATGTGATTCTGCAATCTGTGTATGGGGTGAAGGTGGGAGTTCATAACCCACTTGAATCAAAGTGTGGAATATGATATGTCAAGAAATTTGTAATGTTTTGAACAACCCACAATAAAAAATTTAAAAAAAAAAAAAATTATTCGGCAGAGAGAGGAGGAAGTATGAAGGAGAAAGGGAAGGCAATGCCAGGGACAGAAGAGGCAGGGAGGAGTGGAGAAACAAAGTAGGAGGGACAAAGACAGGGAGGATGAACAAATTAAAAAAAAATTTACTCTAAGTGAGCCTACAAACCAATTAAACACAAGAAGAAATCTAATGTTAAAAAAAAAGATCAGGCAGTTTGAATTGTGGTGCCACGAAGGAGTAGGTGGTGGGATCTCACTTTGTGTCTGACTAGCCTTTTCTTGCATTTTTCTCTGCCTTGCTTGTCTGAGCTTCAGCAGAATTCCAGATGGCTGGTGGTAAGACTGGGAAGGACTCCGACAAGGCCAAGACAAAGGCAGTTTCCCGATCCCTCAGAGAGCTGGCTTGCAGTTCCCTGAAATCTAGGACAACCAGCCATGGACTACGGCAGCCATCCTGGAGTACCTCACCACAGAGGTACTTGAATTGGCAGGAAATGCATCAGAAGACATAAACATAAAACATATCACCCTTGGTCACTTGCAACTTGCTATTTGTGGAGATGAAGAGTTGGACTCTCTCATCAAGGCTATAATTGCTGGTGATGGTGTCATCCCACATACCCACAAATCGCTGATTGGGAAGAAAGGGCAACAGAAGACTGTTTAAAGGATGCCTGGATTCCTTATTATCTCAGGACTCTAATACTCTTAACAGCGGTCCAGTGTTGGTGATTCCAGGGGACTGTAACTTTGTAAAAACACACAATTTTGCCTTTTTGTAATTCTATTTGAGCAAGTTGGAAGTTAAATTAGCTTTCCAACCAACCAAATTTCTGCATTCAAGTCTTAACTATATTTAAGAGTTATGGTGGCTTCAAAGAAGCTACTGATTCTGAAGTAGTGGGTTTTGATTGAGTTGACTGTTTTTAAAAAACTGTTTGAATTTTAATTGTGATGCAGAAGTTATAGTAACAAACATTTGGTTTTGTACAGACATTATTTCCACTCTGATGGATAAGTTCAAAAGATTATATCCCAAACTAAAATAATTTTTTTTAAAAAAAATCAACAATTAGAATAAGTTTGCATAAAGCAAATAAATTTTATAAAACTGTCCAAAAACATTACAATATGTTGTGGAGAGGCGTAAATGCCATTAGAACCAAATTTTAAGCAAAATTAGAAAAAAAATAATAATATAATAATAAATTTAATAATACTAGAAATAAAATAAAACCATTGATATAAAATACAAAAATTATAATACTAAGCTAAACACAGATGAAGAGTGAAATAGTAATTAGAAAATAACACTAAGATGGGCTGGGGATGTACCTCAGTGGTAGAGTGCTAGTCTAACACATACAATGCCCTGGGTTTGATCCCAGTAGGACAAAACAAAAACAAAAACTGGAGAACATACCCAGAGTACAGTACTTTTATCCTATATTGAGATTATGTGGCACACAGAAGATTACAAAAATTAGGATCAAGTGTCTTCTGAGTAATGCTGTTCAAGCATACATCTTGTCCAGTTGATTACATTTCCTCATGGACAATTTTTTTCTCCCAGCCCCAGAACCAAAAGCTCAGCACATAACACTAGTTAGCAAAATGAAGTAGTATAGGAAGCAAAGACAGGCATGGGTGAGAATGAAAAAACAGAATCACTTTACAACATCTCTGAATCTTTTAAGAAAGAATTCATGTAAAACGTGGTGAAATAAGATCTGTATCAGAGTGGTCAATATTGTGTGAATATCCATTTTCTAGTTTTGACAATGTATTGTGAAACATTATCACAGGTGGAGCTGGAAAGAGGGTACATGGAAACTCTGAACTATTTTGTAACTTCTTGTGAATTTAAAATTATTTCAAAATAATAGTTATTAAAAAAAAAAGAAGAAGAAGAAGTAGTAAGTTGAAGAACTTATTTCCAAGTAGCACTCTTCAAAAGTGGTTCAAGTGTCTGCTAATCACCAACATAACCGAAACTTCATGATATTGGTCCAACTTTCAAAAGTCAATCAACATATACACATATCATAGATGAATCACAAAATAATTATTCCAAGAGAAAGAAGCCAGATTAAAAATATATATACACTCTAGTTTCCATTTTTAAAGAATTCATTAAAATGCAAACTAATCTATAGTAACAAAACAGATAAGCAATAATCCAGGGATAGAGTTTAGGGGAGGAGATCCAAACAAAGAGATTACCAAGGGGGCCTAAGGAAACTTTTGGGGTTGATGAATACATACTTTATAGTGGTTGTGGTAATGTGGGCACATATGTTAAAACTTAACTTTAAATATGTGCAGTATGTTTTATGTAAAATATACTTCAGTTAAGCTATTCAGAGCATTTATCAGTACAATTCACTATTTCTACAGACCAAAAAAAAGTCATTATTTCAGTAGATGCAGAAAAAGCATTTGAAAAAAATTACCACCCATTCTTTTTTAAAATACATATATACACATATATACATTTTTAGTTATAGTTGAACACAATATTTTATTTATTTTTTTTTTGTGGTGCTGAGGATCAATCCCAGCGCCTCACACATGCAAGGTGACCACTCTACCGCTAAGCCACAATCCCAGCTCTAACACCCATTCTTGACACAAACTCTTGGTGGGGGGACAAATTGGAATTTACTTATTCTGATAAAAGGTATCTACAAAAACCTATGTGGCACACACCTATAATCCCATCCACTTGGGAAGCTGAAGCAAGAGGACAGGAAATTGAGCCAGCCTCAGCAACTTAGCAAAACCCTGTCTCAAAAATTTTTAAAAAAGTAAAAGGGCTGGGGATGTAGTTCAGTGGCAAAGTACTTCCATGTTCAATTCCCAGTACAAAAGGGGGGGGGGGGGGAATCCTAGAATGACTGATTTTTTAAAATATTTATTTTTTAGTTAGAGCTAGGCACAATATCTTTATTTTTATGTGGTGCTTCATGCATGTTAGATGAGCATGCTGGGAGGAAATGATTGATTAAAAAATAAATAAATAAATAAAGAGAGAGAGAATTTAATATTTATTTTTTAGTTTTCGGTGGATACAACATCTTTATCTGTATATGGTGCTGAGGATTGAACGCAGCACTGCGCGCATGCCAGGCGAGCACGCTACTGCTTGAGCCACATCCCCAGCCCCAATGATTGATTATTCTTATGTGTTTGTAAGGATGGCTTTAGATCTTAGCCTAAGAAACTCCATTTTAAAACTCCAGTTTGAAACCTGCAGTCTCATCAGGTACACCTATGTAGCCCTCCAGTATAGCCCTCAGGCACAAACAAGTCACTTCTCCCCACCTTGATAAACTCAGAATGAAGTCTCTAGCATGTTGCCCTCATCCAGATAAGAGCGAGAAGCAAGAAAATCAGGGTGGGGACCACCAGACCAGATGCTTTAACCTCAGGGTAAATGACATCACTGAGAAATGCAGTAGCAGCTGATAGGAATTGAAGGGGTGGTCAGAAGCCCCAAAATTTAGTATAAATGATGGAACAAATGAACAGACATTCAGCCAGCCGACACCAATGCACACAAGCCTGAGAGCCTGATGAGGACCTGGACTGACATCACAACTCTTCTCATCTGCCTGATCCTGTGTTTTCTCACTGGTCTCAAACTCTATAGCAGTCTCTTGACTCTGGTGAGAAAAGGACTTCTCCCCATGACCACCTCCTCAGCCAGCCATCAGCTCCACCCCAAGAAAAGCCTGCCTTGGTTCCTGATCTGATCACCACAGTCTGAGTGAGTGTGCATCTGCTGGACTTAGAGCATAAGACTTGAGACTTTCGATCTGACACTTGAGCTTAGCATGCAGATGGAATGTTTGTAATGAGCATGTCATGATTAAGTGTTTGTAGTGCTTAAAATCAATCTAGAATTGTTTGCTATGAATTGATTATGTCTATTGCAGTGTCTAACATTAAGGATTGTCATTTTCTTGAGTAAGAATCTATACAGTGAAATTATATTGAGTGATTTGAGTAAATAAAGCATTGAAAAGGGAAGCGCGAGGACATTCTTCATTTCTCCCCTCGACTACATAAGTCACACCTTTTGCCCATTGTGACAGTGTTAAAGAATGAATGTTCTCACCCATAATCAGGAACAAGGCAACACTGTACCAGAAGTCTTGCTAGTGATACAAGTAGCAAAAAAGAAATAAAACTATCATTATTGGCCAATGATGTTATTGTCTATACAGGGTATCTCAAAACAATCTACATGAAGCTTCTAGACCCAATGAGTTGGGCAAGAGCAAGAAATAAGGTTAATATACAAACACCTATTGTAAATAACACAAGAAGCATGAAACACTTAGGACAAATCTGGCAAAATATATGCAAGATTTGTATGCTGAAAACTATACACCTTGAAAAGAAAAATTACAGACCTAAACAACTGAAAAGAGCCAGGCTTGAAGATGCATGCCTATAACCCCAACTACTGAGAAGACTGAGGCAGGAGGATGGCAAGTTTAGGCCAGTCTCAGCAACTCAGCAAGACCCTATCTCAAAATAAAAAATAAAAAGGGCTGGAGATGCAGCCCAGTGATACAGCATCCTGAGTTCAGTTCCCAATACCACCAAAAATGAACAAACAAAACACCTAAAAAGATAAAATCATGCTGGGCGTGGTTGTGCACATCTGTAATCCCAATGGCTCAGGAGGTTGAGGCAGGAGATCACAGTTCAAAGCCAGCCTCAGCAATTTAGTGAGGCCCTGAACAACTTAGTAAGACCCAATCTCAAAATAAAAAGGGCTGGGGATGTAGGTCGGTGATCAAGTGCCCTAGGTTCAATCACTGGTACCAAAAATAAATAAATAAATAAAATCATACATTGGAAGATTCAGTATGGTTAGCTATCAATTCTCCCCAAATTGATCTACACATTCAATATGATCTCAATTGACAAACCTGATTCTAAAATTCATATAGGCATGATGGTACGTGCCTATAATCCTAATGACTGGAAAAGCTGAGGCAGGAGGATTATAAATTCACAAGCAATTTAGCAATGCCCAGAGCAACTTAGTGAGACCTTGTCTCAACATAAAAAATAAAACTGGGCCTGGTGGCACACACCTGTAATCCCAGCAGTTTGGGAGGCTGAGGCAGGATAGCAAGTTCAAAGCCAGCCTCAGCAAAAGCAAGATACTAAGCAATTCAGTGAGGCCCCGTTTCTAAATAAAATACAAAATAGGGCTAATAAAATACAAAATAGGCCTGGAGATATGGCTCAGTGGTGGAGTGCCCCTGAGTTCAATTCCTGGTACCCAAATAAATAAATACAAAGGATTGGAAATATAGCTCATTGGTAAAGAACACCCCTGGGTTCACCCCCCAATACCAAAAAAAAAGGAGCTAGAATAGTTAAAAAAGAAGACCAAAACTGGAAGAGTCATATTATCCAATTTCAAAACTTACTATGAAACTATAGTACTCAAGACAGTATAGAATTCAGGGTAATGATAAGATATACAGATCAATGAAACAGAACAGAATTCAGAAATATATCCATACATAAATGGATTAAATCTTTGACAGATTTTTTTTAAAATACTTTTCTTAGTGTATATCACTTTTTTTTTTTTTTTTTTTTGGTACCAGGGATTGAACTCAGGGGCACCTAACAGCTGAACCACATCCCCAGCCCTTTTTTTGTATTTTATTTAGAGACAGGGTCTCACTGAGTTGCTTAGGGACTCATTAATTTGCTGGGATTACAGGTATGTGCCACTGTGTCCAGCTCTTAGTATATATCTTTTAAAAGTAAATATAAGGGCTGGAGCTTTAGCTCTGTGGTAGAATGCTTGCCTAGCACATGTGGCACTGGGTTCGATCCTCAGCACTGCATAATAAGTAAGGAAATAAAATAAAGGCATTATTGTCCATCTACAACTACAAAAATTTTTTTTTAAGTAATAAATACAATAACAAAAGAAAATGCAGTTTAAAATTTTTCAAATAATATTGATCAAGTTATTGTACTCATAAAAATTTATTCCACAGATGTACTCCCATGAGTTTAATATGATACCCACACACATATATACTCTAATAACTTATGTCTATAAGTGCTAATATGGAAAGGTGTATAAAACATATCTGCAAAACAAGCAAGTTGCAAATAATTGGCATACGTATATCTGTGTATGCATAATCACTTTTGAAAATACAAGAAACAGATAATACAATCTGAACATCCCCAATCTGAAATTCCAAGATCAGAATTGCTCCAAAATCCAAAAGTTCTTGAGCATCCAAAAACAATTTCCCACTTGAACTCATCTGACACATCACAGTCAAAATGTAGGTACACTTAAAAATACTGTATAAAATTGCCTTCAGCCAATCCTAAAGAACCAAAGGCTGAATGTCTTCTCTGATATGCAGATGCTAATTCACAATGGGTGGGGGGCTAGGGAAAAAAATAATTATTCTGGATTAGATAGAGGGGAGTGAAGGAAAGGGTAGGGGTATGGAAGTAGAAAGGATAGTAGAATAAATCAGACATTATTACCCTATGTGTATACATGATTACACGACCAGTGTAATTCTACATCATGTACAACCAGAAGAATGAGAAGTTCTGCTCCATTTATGTATGATGTGTCAAAATGCATTCTACTGTCACGTATAACTAACAGAACAAATTTTAAAAAGTTGCCTTCAGGCTACACATATATAAGGTGTATATGAAACATAAATGAATTTAGTATTTAGACTTTCATTTTCTTCTGAAGATCTCATTATGTATATGAAATTATTCCCAAACTGAAAAAATCCAAAATCCAAAACATGTCTGGTCTCAAGCATTTCATTTAAACCTATAACAGTTACTTCTGAGGTATAAGGGTGGTGAGAAATGTGAATTTTTATCTATGAGCACCTATTATTTTAATAACTTTTCTATTTTATGAATCTTTATAGAATCAGTATAAGAATACAAAACAATGAGTTGGGGATGTGGCTCAAGCGGTAACGCGCTTGCCTGGCATGCACGGGGCACTGGGTTCGATCCTCAGAACCACATAAAAATAAAAAGAATAAAGATGTTGTGTCCACTGAAAACTGAAAAATAAATATCAAAAAATTCTCTCTCTCTCTTTAAAAAAAAAAAAAGAATACAAAACAAAACATTTCTGGCACCAAAAATGAATTTTTAAAGCATACAATGACCTAAAAATTGAACTCTCTGAGCCACCCATCTCTCTGAGTCTTTGACAAGTTGTTTATTTTTATTTTGTTTTTAGCACTGGGGATTGAACTCAGGGACACTTTGTCACAAAGATACACCTCTAGTTCTTTTATTTTTGAGACAGGGTCTTGCTAAGTTGCTCAGGCTGGCCTCGAACTTGAAATCCTCCTGCCTCAGTTTCTTGAGTCACTGGGATTTCGGGTGTGTGCCACTGATAGGTTTTTTGGTCTCTAGACTCTGAAGAAATAGCATTTGTCAGTCAAGTGAAGCATACACTAAATTCTCTATATTTTAAACTACATTTGAAATATCATGGCACAGATAACTAGTTTGAAATTTTAAAATACAAATTCACATTTAAGAAATTCTGTTTTCATATTTCAGTAATTGTGTATTGGACTAGCTTATGAGATCCATGAAGACAGGGGCCATGTTTAATACATCATGCATACATAAAGAAATGCATGAATGCATTAATGTTAAGTCAAGTCCTTCATGGTAATGTGTTTATTTACAGGCACATAAGAATTTTTGTTTTTACATATGTAATAATAGTTTGAGAAATGCACTTACACTCTATTTTCTTCAAAGTTCATCTCTAAAAATGAGGAAGCCAGGGAGTAGGAATATAATTCAGTAGCAGAATTTGCCAAAATTGCACCAAGGCCCTAGATTTGATACTCAACATATACACGCACAAAAAAGAAACTAGATTAGATTACCTTTATAATACTTTCTAGATTTTAGGATTCTTTGATTTTCTTACTTTACAGTATTGTCTCAGAGGCTTGAGACAAGATAAACATTGAGCCAATATAGACTTCTATTTCACTTCCAGCACTGTCACTCTCATACTTGGTTAGCAACTTAATTTCTAAAAGTCTCCAATTCCTTCTATACTTATGAGGATAAAAAAAATCACTTCTTCAGAGTATTATGAAATATAATTTGCATAATGCACAAAGGCATAACTACACAAATGGCAGTACCTTATAATGATAGTCTGGGCAATAATAGCAATGTCACAGAATGGAACTACTCCTGTTAAGTGATGAAGGCATTAATGTTTTGTAACAGGATTATTTATACTAAAAAGGTAGATGCACTCACTTCTGACAAAGCTGATTAAAAAGAATTTTAGGAGAAAGTGGTCCTTTTTCGGTCTCCTTCATGCTGTGAAGAAACAGGAACAAAGCTGAAGTCAGCGGTCCAGGGCTTGAAAGTTCCACCACTAATGGATCCTTTAAAAACATGACCAACTCTATGTCAGAAACACACAGTTTTAAAACATTATTTTTAAAAATCTAAGAGTTACACTTTATTTAAATGAAATTGGCTAATGTATGTTAAGAAATGTTATTCCTTTATAAAATGTACATATAAAAATAGAAAATAGGATTAAATGTTTTACCTTGGAAAACAACTATTTTCATATCCGCTGCACTTTATTTAATAAATCTTGAGTTTAATCATTAATCCTTAGCTGTTTTAACTGCCCCTTAACGGGTTCTCCTATAAATAAAACTACTAATCTACTTGATATTTTTACTTTTCCACAAATAATCATAAGTTATATTTACTAGCAAAAACTCCATACACTTCTTTTCCCCAAATATTTTAGTAAAAAAATAAGGAATGAGGAATTATGTGACAAAAATCAGTACACCGTCTTCCTCTTTTACAGAAAAACAAAGTTCGGGGCTGGGGCTCAGGCTCAGTGGCAGAGCACTTGCCTAGAATGTGTGAGGCACTGAGTTCGATCCTGAGCACCGCATATAAATAAATAAAAAATAAAGGTTCATCAACAACTAAAAAAAAGAAAAACAAAGTTTGACAAAAGCAGCTAAGATTATACGAAGGATTAACCCAATTATTTTTCTCCCAAGTTTTGCTTTCTAAAATACATTATTCCCTTTGTCTTTGAAAGAACAATCTGAGATTACTTCATTGGGCTAAATGTTTTTAAAATCTCCTTTTTAATTGTTTTCAAAGGTCAGATCATGAACTATCCACATACACTCTTTTCCTCTATCAAAACTCTCAATTTCTAACTAACATTATTATTTGTAGTCTCAGTGCCCTCCAGGCAAAGTCCTCCAGGAACACACTTGAATTAAGTTGATCACTTGTTGTAGTGAGGTAGAACACACACCTTGGAGAACCATGAAGTGTCCCAGTAAGAGGTTCTATAAAGAAGGATTTGGGATTTGGTTAGGTAATTTGGGGAGGGAACTAAGGAAGTGGAGATTTACTCTAAATTGGATGCCACCAGCAAATGGAGATAATGCTATACTACAACTGAGTATCTCAGTAAGTCTTATCTCAGGAGAGAGAAGGGATGAGGATGAGGATAAAACTATATCTGTTAAAGAAGTAGCAATCATTCATTTCTCATTTTGTCCAAGACAGAGAGGTTACTGGGATTTCCTAAATGGCAGATAGACCTTGTTTTTGTGTGTTTAGACCAAATTTATGAACTGATCTTGCTTTGTCTCACTTTAACACTGTCCTCAGAGAAACCTAGTGTGAGGCTTCTCTTCTGTGAGATTCTCCAAACATGGCCTCACTGTGGGAGTTAAACCAGGTTCTGAATGTCAGGGGCTCTTTTTTTTATTATTGTTTTTTCTTTCTTAAAAATCCATCATCAGACTAGGCTTCAAAAGAACCTCCAGGTGCTGATTAAGTCTACTGTTAAATTTAAATAAATGTCACCAGCAACCACAAAATAGGGGTACTATTTTGCTCAACAAGTCAAACCTGTTTTATTTTCACAAAATGCTTTTGAATTCTCTTTTTTAAAAAAGTCTTCTGACTCCTATCCCAATTGATAGTTCTGAGAAATAAGACACTTTGGGAACATCAGCAGCTGATCTGAAAACAGCCATTATCCAGATAGTATACTTCTTACTCACCAACTGAGACTCTGAGGAAGGAGAAATCTTGAATTTTGTACCATCTTCTTTTATCTCATTCATCAGCTCAAAAAGTATGTAAGTCTGGGCCAAGTTCTAAAAGAGAGTAAAGTCTTCTGATTCAGTTACATTATGCCTCTAATCTTACGAAATGAATATTCTCTCAAAGTGTCAAATTTCGGGCTGGGGATGTGGCTCAAGTGGTAGCGTGCTCGCCTAGCATGCGTGAGGCACTGGGTTCGATTCTCAGCACCACATAAAAATACACCACATAAAAATAAAGATATTGTGTCCATCTAAAACTAAAAAATAAATATTAAAAGAAAGTGTCAAATTTCATCCAGCATAGCAAAATTTCTATTTAAAATATTTTAATTTGAAATGAGTACATTTCATATTTAGTAAATGTCACTATTACTGATGAAACCATGGTAAAACACATAGAAGGCCTTTCGGAAGAACTGTGTAAAAGGTTTATGCATATGGTGATGGCCAAAGACAGCCTACAATAAAAAGAAAGCAGAAAGAAATTTTTAGTAAACATTCAGCAGTCGTTCAATCACTTAAAGGTATGCTGAATGCCCATTTAATGAAAAATTCTTTATATTTTATTAATCTTTGGTGACATTTACCTGAATGACTGCATTAAAAAAGCAAGTATTTCCTAAATTTATAATTCCTTTTACAGATGGTACACTGCTGCCTTTTCTTCCCTTCTTTATTTCACCTGCTTCAAATTTTTCTTCACAAAGTTTTAGGATTCTTGAAAATGCATCTACAAGTTAAAGAAAACAAAACTGACATGAGACATAAAATTTTAAGTGTCACTTGACAATGTAAATATATTATTTAAAATTAAATAAGATTATCTCTCTGAATCAGTGTTCCTAAAAGACAAACACAAATGTCTTTGATTTTCTATCTTATCACTATGAAATTCATTTTAATGTACAGATCTATGCCTCACATCACATAAATAAATTCTAGATGAATTTTAAAAGTATATGTAAAGAAATATGGTAAAAAAAAAAAAAAAGTAGAAAAGATCTAGCTTCTAAAGGTTGGAGATGTAGCTTTGTAGTAGAGTATTTGCCTAGCATGTTTGAAGTCCTGGGTTTAGTACCCAGTTGGGGGGGGGGGGGGGGGGGGGGGTTTCTAAATACCACTCTCCACTAAAAGGAATGAGGATTGATAGGGCAGGAAAGATGCAAAATAAGCCTATAACATTTCTCTTGTATCAAAGAATAAGAAAGTATTCAAAAATAGTGGGACTATATCAAAATACACAGGCACCATACTGAATAGATTCCTACTGCCCAATGTAGTAGGGTAGTATAATGGATTATTACACATAGAATGTGTCTGAATAGGTAATGGATTTTTTTAAAAGGGGGAAAAGGAAAGAGCAGTTCCTTAGAAATGACAACTAATAAACAAAAGAAATGAAGGATCAAAAAAATCAGCATCTTATAGTGGTAATTTTTTTCTATTATTCTTGCAACTTTCCTGTGAATTTGAACTTGTCAAAATTCAAAGTTTAAAAAAAAATAGTGCCATAGTATAATACAAAAAGTAAAATACCACGGCTGGGGCTATAGCTCAGTGGCAGAGCACTTGTCTTACACATGTGAAGCACTAGGTTTGATCCTCAGCACCACATAAAAATAAATAAATAAAATAAACACATGTTGTCCATCTACAACTACAAAAAAAAATTTTTTTAAAAGTAAAATACCAAGTGTACAATAAATAGCTGTTCTGTGCTGTTAATATAGACCTGAAGGTTACATTACCAGCTCATGTTTAATAACAACGAAGAAGCCCTAAAATTAATGAATTGAAATGGTCACTATACATCTCTCTGGATTACTTTTAGTAGCTAATACATAAATGTAAATAGTTGTTATACCACCAAGTATCAAGTACAACACATTTTCTCATAGTTTTCATAAATATTTAATGAGCTAACAACTGCAAAGTGCCTAGCATGGTAACCACTATGTATTTGAAAAACAGCTCTGAGAATCTCCTCAAAAATGCAATTTGTGGGGCTGGGACTATAGCTCGGTGACAGAGGATTTACCTAGCATACAAGAGGCACTGGGTTTGATCCTTAGCACCACATAAAAATAAACAAAATAATGACATGCTATCAACCTACAACTAAAAATTTTTTTTTCAAAATGCAATTTGTGCCAAAATCCACATCTTTGTGAGCCATTCTTCATGTCCATTGTTTATCTGATCTCCCTTTTTTCTTTCTTTAATCATTTCCTACACATTCTGAATATTTGTTCTCTCAAGGTTATTTCTTATTGAATTTTCTGAATTGCTGATATCTGTTTTGTGTTTCATATTGAATTTGTGTTTTTCAAATATCTTGTCTTCTTTCTTTCCTTCTTTTGTGTGTGCGTGGGGTGGGAGGCGCTAGGGCTTGAACCCAGGACCTCATTCATGCTACACAAGGGCTCTACTATTGAGCCCCATACTAGCCTAGCCCAACTTTTCTTTTTAAATCGTGGAAATAGGCCTGGAGTTGTAGTTCAGTGGTTCAGCATTTGCCTGGCATGTGTGAGGCACTGGGTTCAATTCTCAGAACCGCTTACAAATAAATAAATAAATAAAATTAAGGTCTACTGACAACTAAAAAAAAAATTTTTTTTTTAATGTGGAAATCTCTCATGAATTGGTAGTTTCTAATATTTTTTTCAGCAAGCAAATCTTTTTCATAGAAAATATTTTTCTTCCAATTCTGTAAACATTTTTTTTGGGGGGAGGGTAAACCTTATCAACTGTTTCTCCCTTTATTTTGGTTTGCTTTTTATAAAAAAAAAAAAAAATTATTAGTAATTATTGGATATCTGTTATCCAGATATTAAGGAGTCATTTTTAATTCCCAACCCCAGAATCCTAAGTTAATGCAGAAAATAGGTCTCTTCTGTCCTCCACATATTGAAATAAGTGATGAGAAATGAAGCCTATACTACAGCTTACAGCATAGGCCACTAAAATCAATGAAGCAGCTCACTGAAGTATAGAGGCATGAGGAAAAGGAAAAGGAAGAAGAGACCAACAGTATTCAAACCTACCAGTGAATACAAAGGCAAATGAAAAAAGTCAACACTTTAGAAACAGTACACAGAGGAAGCCTGATATGGATCCTCGCTGGGTTTGTAGACAGAACCGTCTGCCTCTTATTTATGTCTGGAATTCCAATTAGAACCTAAAATGGGCAAGTTTTAGACTCTCATTATATCTGTTGCAAATAGATAGTTTCACAGTGATTTTTGTATGTTAGGTATATGCATTCACAGTGATTTTTAAGAAATTTAAAATCAAAGAATAATCAAATCCAAGCCTCACTCCATCTTTTCAGATAAGGTAGTTAACTCTGATTTTTACATTTATAAAACTTAGTCCCAGACAGGTTAAATGACTTACTTACAGTCACAGTGATAATTTTCTGATTACAAATCCATTGTCATTTTACCACTTAAATCCTCACCCATTATTTATGTACAATGAGATTAATTATAAAAGATAGTGGGGCAAAATTTTTGTAGATATGGGCATTGGCAACCCCAAACAAATATGATTCCTCAAAGTATTTCCCTAACATTCTTAATAAATATCGCCCTAATGCCTTTTAGCTTTTTAACATGAAAACAGAATAGTTGGGAAAAATAAACTATAGATTATAACTATATATAAATATAAAATACACATTATTCACTTGGAAAAATACTCTCAGAAAATTATATTTTAATCGCAAAAAAACCCCAATATTTTAAAAACCATAACATGCAAATAATTTACATGTCTGTGTACCACATTTATTTGTCAGTTTTCAAAACATCTGGGATGGCATACCAAAGTAAACAATGTTCATAAGACCATCTGGACAGAACTGCAGGCAAAAAAAAAGCATAAACATATGGAAAAACAGATTTTCCCCTTCCTTTCAGCAGTAAGGGATGACAAATGTCAAACCTAGATATATCCACGCTTCACTGTGCGATGCTTTTCAGCACCACCTGGCTCTCCATGCAAAGCCACCAAATATGGACAGCACTGCCAGAAAGAACATATCCACAGGGCAATGGCAATAAAAACAGTTTATTTCATGGTTAAATAGCCTCTTCACACAAGTGGCAAGGGTCTGTTTGTTGACTTTTACATTAAGTCTATGAGAAAATATTTAAGATTAATCTTACTAGACTTGAATATTAAACAAATCAGTTAATTTAACTAACTAGAAAACAGAATAACATTTTCTAAGATACTAAAATACTTGTAAAAATGCCTTTTTTAACAAGTATTTTATTTAAAATAAAAGCGCAAGTTTTTTAAACTTTACCAATAGCACAGTTATAATATATAACAATTTAAATTAAATTGATTCAAAAATGTCCATTGTGTTCAGGTACTATATAAACCATTACATTTATATGCTTATGGTTTATGACTGAAGTAAAAGGAATTGATACATAATAGAGAGATGTTAAGCATTAAATTTATAACAATATTTCAGCAAAACTTCTAGAAACTAAGAATACATATTTGTATATATGTTCATTAAAAAATGCCCAGAGTTAACAGTCTAGTTTAAAATAGGGGTTCTGAATCAGACTTTTAATATTTAACATACATGAAGGTATATGTTTTAATAAGAAGCAATTAATAATTTCTAAGAATGATTCTGATTATTTTGTTTGTAGAGACAAAAACGCTTTCTCCATCTGGCAGTGCAAATATTTTAGATCATTTTCACTTTTAAGAACTCTCTTCTTCCTTTTATAAATATAGAATCAAATACCTTAAGACTAAACTTCTAGATGTTTTGAAGTATGGTATAATTAAATGGACAAAGCTGCTACAACACCAACAAGTAAGACAAACTATACAAAATTTTGATTATCATTTCATTTGTTCAATCATCACCTATGAAAAAGTGGTGCCCATAATTAGAAAGAGTAATCACAGAAAATTTCAATGTTATTTTATTTGAAAGGATTTAATCTACTTAACCTTCCTTATTACTTCTATATTACCAACACTGTATTCTGATATTCCTTTTCCTAATAGAATAATATAGACCCAGAAGGCAAAGTACACTGAGAGAAAACTTGGGAGACTGGGCGGGGGGGGGGGGGGGGGGCTGAATTGATTCCAAGGCCTATGAAAGTGCTCTCCCACTGTGCTACACCCTCTGCTCTCCAGCTAAATTTCTTAAAGTCCTTTTACATTTCTGTAGTTTACCTTAAAGCCTATAATCTGAGTGTCAAAGAACAGCTGCTTAATTGAATAGACCCATAGGTTTTGTACATACCTCAGGTCTTGCAAGACAGAAAACTGTCTGAAGTACCAACAAAGTAAAACAAACAAACAACAACAACAAAAACAAACAAAAAAAAACTGGTAATCTTAGATAAAATTCAAATTTTTCTAGCATAAAAATAATTTAAACGCTTAAAGACCATACAACTGTCATTTTTAGAAACCAAGTTTAAGGTTATTAAATAAATAATAAATATATTTTGAAAAGTCTTTGGGCTGAGGTGTAGCTTGATGACAAAGCACTTGCACAAGAGAGGCCCAGGGTTAGAGCCCCAGCAAAAATAACAATAACAAAATGATAATAATAAGGTCCCAGAAAATTTTAAGTCACTATTCTTTATAATCTTAGAGAGCAAAAAGACTTTCAAAGCATGACCCTAAAAGCTAAAAACATATATAGGAAAGACTGATGGGCCTTGGAATAATGACATTAAAAAC